CATAGAAATGGGAGGCTGGTAGGGATGAGTTCTAAAAAGAGTTTGTGAAAGATGGGAGGTGTCCCAGCCCATCTGTGAGAATGCGCCAGTAGAGGGAATAACTGCTGTCGGAGGAGAGAAGGGAGCTGGAGGAGCACGTCCTGGAGCAGGTGAGTGAGGGGCCTCCAGTGGAAGTGGAGGGGTCAGCCTTGGCCCATGAGGTGGAGGTTGAGGTGGAAGCTGTAGCCCAGTGCAGGCAGAGGTGGATGTGATGATGGGCGCAGTGGAGGCCTCTCTTCTGATGGATATGTTTTGCCCAAATAAGGAAGCATTTGAGAGTGAGGGTGGGGAAAGGTGTGTGTGTTAGGCTGGGTTCTCTAGAGAAGCAAAACCAGTAAAGCTTATATATACATATAGAGAAAGAGAAATTTATCTTAGGGAAATGGCTCACATACATACAGAAGCTGGCAAGTCCCAAGTTCTTGGATCAAACGTCAAGATGGGGGCTTTTCCTGACTCGCACAGCTGCTGGGGCTGATACGTCAAGGTTGGAAGGCAGAATGACGAATCCAAGATCTCCAGGCCGAATGGTGGATTGTTTTGCTCATGGACAGTTGTAGGCAGCACAACAGGATCCTGATCCACAGAAGAGTCTCTTTTTCCAGGATGTCCATAAATATATTGGAAGCAGGCCACACCCCTAGGAAACTCCTTTCAACTGGTTGGCTGCTCAAAACATACACTTCCAATCCCATCATGGGAATAACCCATATCACAACTGCTTAAACCACACAGAATTGTGGTCCAGCCAAGTTGACACACAGCTCAAACTGCCACAGTGTGTGAGAGGTTTGAAGGAGACAGTGAAACAGTCACTTAGAGTGGAGAGTGACTGACTGAGGAAGACATGCAACTGGGGAGGGGCGGGGTATGATAAATGCTTCCTAGTAAACAGCAGGGGTGTGAAACCTCAACAACGTGAGGGGTTGGACATAACAGGGTTGGCAGATGTTTCTACATGTGTGTTTGTATGAACTGTAAGAATGCCCAGGTGTATAGTAGAGCTGACAAGGGGCATGGTTATGGAGGCTAATTGGCGACAGCCAGCCACCGCGAGGGAGCAAGTAGTTAGACCTGTGGGTTTGGGATTATGGTTGCAGGGGATGTCAAGCTCAATCGGCATAACATATTACACAAAAATGTTCTACATCCTACTTTGGTGAGTAGCGGCTAGGGTCTTAAAAGCTTGCAAATGGCCATCTAGGTGCAACAATCAGTCTCTTCTCATCCAGAGCAAAGAAGAATGAAGAAAACCAAAGATGCATGGAAACAGTCCAAGGGACTGGTGGACCATGTGATTCTCAGCCTATATGACCATGAGACCAGAAGAACTAGATGGTGCCTGGCTACCATTGTCAACCATTCAGAGAGGGATCAGTGCAGGGGATTGTGAATAGAGTGGGAGAACATTGTGGAACAAAACTCAAAATCATTGGGGGGGAAAAAAAAAGACCAGGTTTACTGGTCTGATAGAGCCTTGTGAGACCCCTGAGACTATGGCCCCTAGTTATCCTTCAGGTCTGGAACTGAACTCA